GGAGGAAAGCCAGCAGAGCCCCAGCTCCATCCTGCCGAGCCCCTCAGTCTGCTGGGCCAGGGTGGGTGACAGGTGAGTGATGGGTGACCGCAGGGCCCCAGCCCTGCTCGCTGGCCCTGCAAGTGACACTGGTATCGCTTCCCTCGAAGATACTGGTGTCCCCCGGGCTCCTAGGGGTGCAATTCCAGACTCAGTCTGCCAGGAGGAGCGTTCCAGTGTCATAGGATGATGCAGCATCTGCAGAAACGCTGTCTGCTGCCGCCCACCGAGGGCGGAGGGGTCACCGGCGCGAAGTACGCGTGGACCTTGATGTTCGGGAGGTGAGTCTGCAAGGACAAGGCTCTCAGGGCACAGGGACAGGCACAGGGACACACAGGAGGGACCCACAGCTGCCTCACCTCTCTGCAGGCACAGCTGAACCCACTGAGCCCAACAGCTCCAGGGGAACTAAGAACCTACGGGTCAATGGAGTGATTTCCCCAGGGAGGAAGGAAGAAATGAGGCTCTGCCCTCCTTGGTTGGGGGGAACACAACATTCCCATCCCTGGAAGTATCTAAGGGGCTTGGAGCAAACTGGGCTGGTGGGAGGTGGATGGGTTTAAACCTGGGTGGGTTTAAGTTTCTTCCAACCCAACCCATTCCATGATCTGACTTTACAGATCCATGTGTCAGTGCTCATTTACAGATGGAGAAATGGACTCAGGAGAGGATTTTAGGGGAAATTCCTCCCTGTGAGGTGCTGAGACACTGGCACTGGTTGCCCAGAGCAGCTGTGGCTGCTCCATCCCTGGGAGTGTTCCAGCCCAGGTTGGATGGGGCTTGGAGCAAAACTGGGCTGGTGGGAGGTGTCCCTGCCCATGGAACTGGATGAGCTTTAAGGTCTCTCCCAACACAACCCATTCCATGATTCCATGACTCTCAATCCCAACTGATGCTAAGCACCAGTCCCAGCTGCCAAGGGCTCCCAGCTCATCCCTCCTCCTCCTCCTCCCCATGGATCCACCACTCCATTCCCGTTTTACCCTGAGTCTCTTGATCCCTGCCCGTGTGATCTGCTGGCAGTCGTACAGTTCTATCCTCTCCAGGCTGTGGCAGCTCTTGAGGTGCTCCAGGGAGGCATCAGTGATCAGGGGGCAGTTGTCCAGCTCGATCACTTCCAGGCGGTCGTGGGCGCAGGCTCCATTCCCCAGGTGACGGATCCCATCGTCCGTGATCAGCTCACAGTGGGACAAACTCTGCTCCCAGACACACAGTTGGGTTACACACAGCTCTGCCAGCCCCCAAAACAGCCAGGACCTTGCTGGGCATACAGGGTTGAGGGGTTTGGAGTGGATTTTGGGCTCTCTGTGCTCCCTCCGTGCACTGGAGCCACTGAGCTCCAGGGGCTGCTGAGGGATGATGTGTCTCCAAGGGGAAAATTACAGAACTCCAGCTGGAGTGGGAAAAATTCCTCCCTGTGAGGATGGTGAGGCACTGACTCCTCTTTCACAGAAAGAGAAATGGACTCAGCAGGGGATATTAGGGAGAAATCCTTCCCTGTGAGATGCTGAGGCTCTGGCATGGGTTGCCCAGAGAAGCTGTGGCTGCTCCATCCCTGGAAAAGTTCCAGGCCAAGTTGGATGGGGCTTGGAGCAACCTGGGCTGGTGGAAGGTGTCCCTGGCCATGGCACAGGGTGGCACTGGATGGGCTTTAAGGTCCTTCCAACCCAAACCATTCCATGATTCCATGAATGGGAAAGGCAGCCCTGGAGAGATGAGCCCCACGGGAAAGCATGGAAATGCCACACACACCTCTGCCATGGAAGAACTCACCTCTGTGACACCTGTGGCCTCAGCCACCATGGGCAGGTCCCTGCCACTGGGCTCAAGAACCAGCAGGAACACAGTGTAACCCACTGGGGTGGGTTTTTTTGGGGGGATTCAGCTGGGAAGTTGTTGAGGAGGAAGCAGGGCTTGAGCTAGGAGGTGGCAGCAGCTCTGCTGAGGGATGGAGAACCCACTGACTGCACCTCACACCTCCCAGACAGGTTTGCTGCTGGCACAGACAGGGACAGAGGACACCCAGAGCCAATTCCCAGAGATTTGGGAATTGGGAACCCCAAGGGAACACTGCTCTCCAGAGCCAGGAAGCATTCCAGCTCTGGCTGTCCTGCTCCCTGCTGCAGGTTGCTCCTCCTGGCATGGACTGACAGCTCTTTGCAGACAGATTCCCCTTGGAATTCTGCTCACAGGACCATCCCATGTCCTACAACCCCTTTCCAGGCAGCTGTGAGTGCATGGTGTGGGATCCATGTGGGAGCAGGGAGGGACAAGATGCTCCTGAGGGTCAGGTTTCCAGCAGACTTTTCCAAGCCTTCCCACCAGGACTGTGAGTGTTTCAAATCCCTTCGGAAGTCTCACTTGGAATACTCACCAGGACCTGGAGCCGTGGACAGTGTATGGAGAGCTGGATTAGTGTACTGTCTGTTATCTGCAAGGGAAGGAAAAGCCTTTTCACTCTGGTGCTTTGAAGCCCTGCAGAACTTTCCCTAATCCATAAATTTTCCCCATATCCACTTCTCCTAAGCCCCTCAGGAACTCATCTCCTCATGGGAATCAGCTCCTGGAAGGACTGTGCAGGCAGAGACATTCCTGGGCTGGTTTACCTTCCTCAAGGAGCTGCAATAAGCTGATGATTAAGAGATGTGAATGTGCTCCTAAATGTCTCCTCAACCTTTGGCTCTGCCAGGACAAAGAGGTTTCACATTCCTGGCTCATGGATTGCCCAACTGTGCTCTGGCTGTGCAGGCAGCAGGAGGTTCACAGCATGGATTCTGATCCCAGAGGCCTCCCAGGAGCTGCCTGGGCTGCTTTGTGCACTCAGGCCAAGGCACAGCCCAATTTAAAAAGCTTCTTCCTTTTTTGGGTTCGTTTGAAATCTCTTCCTGCCTGGACTAGTGTCACTTCCTCTGGAGATCTCCTCAATTTCTGCCTGGAAACACTGGGGAGTGCAGAACAGCAGGCCCAGGTTGTTCCCAGCACACTCTGTCACCTCCTGCTTTGGGCTGAATCCATTTCCAATCTATCCTGAGGGTTGGGGATGTTTTTTTCATGGGATTTGGAGGCAATTCACCTCTTTTCCCTGTGGACTCCAACCCTCTCAAACCACAGTTATTCCCAAAACAGAGGTAATTCCCATTCCTTTCAGCAATACATGGAGCCCAAACCTTCTCCTGCCTTAGGGGTGAAGATCTCTGGGATTTTACCTCATGTCAGGACTCACAACTCACATCTATGACCTGATCTGATATCTATGACTATCAATGTTCATTATTTACCTCCCCAGACATTCAAATCAAACACAAACCAAAGACAAACCTCAACCCCAATATCTTTATCCACGTCCTCCCAATCTTTCTGCTCAGGATCCTAAATTAAGTTCTAATTTGGGTGCAATCCACTAATTTTCCACACTGTGCTACAAGAAAAACACCCAGAGGTGGAAATTCCTACCTGGACACACTCTTCCAGGTCCATTTTTTCCAGCTCATGGCAGTTCTGGGAATAAAGAGAAGAGCAAACACCCAAGCTAAGGACAGTAAATAGAAATAAAACCACCACAAGGACAGTTTGCTTTAAAATTCAGGTTTTCCCCATGGGATATGACAAGTGGAAGGAACATTTTGCTGCTGCTTTAAGCATCAGAGATGGTAAAGGAGTTTCACTCACTTAAAGGCATTGAGGGGTATAGTCATGGAAAGTGAAGGGAGTTGAATTCAGGGGCATTTGCAGGCAAAATAGATTCATCTCAACAAATAAACAGTGAAGGTTTTAACTGCTAAGTGTTCAGTGTTTGCTGAGGTTTGGATGCAAATCCTCATGGATGTGTGGGTGAGAACCAGGCCAAGGATTCCATAAACCCTCATATTTGTAGCTTAGCTTCCACTCAAACCCCAAGACAGAAAGTTTATCCAAAATCTCCTGGTTTTACCTGTCAGGAAAAGAGAGCAAAGCAGTGGTGAGGGCAGGAGGCAGCACTTACCCTGGCCAGGGTGGTGAAGCCCACGTCTGTCAGCTGGGAACACCTTGCCACCTCCAGTATTCTGCACAGAGAGAGGGAGAGGAGCCTTGGTGGGGGCACAGACCCCAGGGCAGGGCTGGCAGGGAGCCCTGGAGACCACCCAGCACAACCCCTGCCCAGCCAGGGGCACAGGAGGGTCTGCAATAGCTCCAGACAGGAGACCCCACCACCCTCCCTGGCCTCCTGCTCCAAGGAGCTCCTAAAACCCTTCACACTCCCCAACATCCCTCAGGGAAAGGCTCTGGAAAGCAGGAACTCCCCTGGTTTGCAGCCCAGAAACAGATCTGAGCCTGGAAAAGGTGTAATTCCCCAAACCTGGCAGGGAAGCACTAAGGATGGAATATTTCAGGCCATGTTAGAGGAGTCTGAAGTTGTCTAAGGTGACCTGTGGCAACAGAGAAACCTCCTGGCAGCTCCTACAGCTCCACACAGTTTCCCTCCATAATTCTAACACATTTTTCTACCTTTATAGAGGAAAAAAACCCCCACAGCCCTCCACATTCCCAAAGTGTTTCATGCACTTCCCAGGATGGAGCTTCACCCTCTGAGGCTGAAGTGAAACACAATGGGAACTGAATTAGGCTCTACCTTCCCCTTTCCAAACTGCTTTCTGTGCACTCTGTATCCAAGTTCTTTGCACCAGACGCCACAGAGAACAGTTGGGGATTGTTTTTTTTTCCCTGGAAGACATGGGTTGGATGTCATTTCACTTGATACCACTTCATCTGATACCATTGAACAGAGGCCACTTGGGCTGTTAAGAGATCTCAGATAAGAAAAGTGCCTCTTTCTGCACATTTTCTGGGTTCTGGTGAAGAATTCCTGAAGAAACTCATCCTAATTAACAAAACACCTTATATAAACCCCAGGAAAATCAGGAGCTGTGGCTGGAGCATTCCCTGCCAGGCTGAGTGAGTTTGCCCCAATTCCACCTGCTATAAAATCACCATGAAAACCTCTTAAATCACAGGGCAAGAGGATAAAATGTTTTTTAAAGACGAAAGCAGCCACATCTCCACTGGTTTTCATAGTAGTGTGAGAGACTCAGTGAGTCTCTGGAGCCACAGAGCTCTTTTACTACAGCTTTACTCACAGACATTTGGGTACAAACTGAAGGTTCAGGGATAAAAATTACCCTCCTGGAAAGGCTTTCAGAGTGTGGAATGGCTCAAACATCACGTGAGGACACCACCAGGCCCCTGTGCCCCCCAGCACAGCTCGGGGGAGCAGGGCAGGCTCACCTGAGGCGTGGGCAGTTCTGTCCCAGGGCGTTCAGGATGGCATCAGTGATGTTGGAGCAGCCTGAGGCACACAGGGACTGTAACTTGTGGCATCCTCTGCAGATGGTGATCAGACCATCATCTGTGATTTGCTGCAGGAGACACAACCACAGCATCAGGGTCACAGGGAGGGAGGTGAGAGGTGCTCAGGGTTTTCCTGCTCACAATTCCAACCTCAGACCAAGTTCTGCTCCTTTTGAGCCCCAAATGCATTAACTATTTCACTCTGAAGTGGTTTTGGAAGCACTGGGGAAGTGGTTTCATGTGCAGGGAGATGTTTCAGGGCTGGGCCAGTTGAGGGGTGGGGAAGGGGCTGGGATTCTGCCTTCTGTACAATCCAGGCTTGGGAAGACTGTCCTGGAGGACAAGAGGTCCATCCTGTCCTGTCCTTGGGCACAGGGGATCCCTCCAGCCCTACCCACAATGGGTCCCATCCTGTCCTGTCCCTGGACACAGTGGGTCCCATCCAGCCCCATCCCTGGACACAGTGGGGTCTGTCCTGTCCTGTCCCTGGACACAGTAGGTCCCATCCAGCTCCATCCCTGGACATAATGGGTCCTCTCCTGTCCTATCCCTGGACATAGGGCATCCCATCCTGTCCTGTCCCTGGACACAGTGGGTCCCATCCTGTCCTGTCCCTGGACAGAGTGGGTCACATCCATCTCCATCCCTGGACACAGAGTGTCCATCCAGCCCCATCCCTGGGCACAGTGGGTCCCATCCTGTCTAATTCCTGCACATAGTGGGTCCCCTCCTGTCCTGTCCCTGGACAGAGTGGGTCCCATCCAGCTCCATCCCTGGACACAGAGTGTCCACCCAGCCCCCTCCCTGGAC